TCGTCTACACTACGGACACACTATAGCTCCACACTCGTCTATACTACGGCCACATTATAGCTCCACAATCGTCTACATATGAAAACTGTAGCTTAGTGTAGCAAAGCAAAATAATTATAGGATGTATATGCTCTATTTTACAAGATTATATCAACTCCAGTCACTTTCTCTTTCACACCTTGAGCTCGGCACTTCCGTCAATTAATCTTTCGACAACACCTGTGTGTTTACATTTCGACAAACTAAAGACAAGACAAACTAAACTGAATGAATACTAAAGTAAATAAAATTATTAAATATAAAACGTCGCTACAACACTGAACTGGTGGAATGTAAACAGGAAGTATAAAGTGAATTGTTACCTTATGAAGACCTCGACACTGCCCAGCTATCAGATCCTACACTGCTTCTCTGCTGCCGGAGCAAAGCACAGCGTGTCTTTCTAAAGTCAAATTAAGACTTGGTGTCCACAATAAGAGATCAAACAGATTTGTTTTTGAACCGTTTTCTGACTCGGCGGTGGAAGTCCGACTGCTCTACGCCCAGACTGGCATTCACTTTCGGTTCGGCTAAAATGAAAGAGAAACAGCGAAGGAGTCCCGCAGCTTCCAACAACGGACAAAAGGGGGCGCTGTCCTGCTGTCTTATCTGCGCGAACCGAACTTTCGCTTCAGGGGAAACGTAACTTTCGATTAAAACTCAAATACACCATGTTGGGTTTTTTTTAAGTAGAAGTTCACTTGAAAATATTTTTTGACTGTTGCGTTGCTTTTACCGCACGTCAATATTTAACTATATTGGTACCGAGGAGCTTAGGTGTCTACAATACTTAAATAATAATAGGACGTAATTTCTGCTGTCGCATCCAGTTTCCTCGCTAATGCAGCCGCAGGGGGAGCTGTTACATTCCTGGGCAGCAGACAGTTCCTGCAGCTGATCAATACAGGCTGAAAAACGTTAAGATACAAGGAACTGCTGCAGTGACAGAGCGCAGAGCACAGAGCACAGGAGCAAGCTACAGGAACAGAATAGCTGCCAGGACTACAGAGCCAGAACTGTCAGTGCTCTTTGGAAAAGCAAGCAGTCTTTACCCGTCACAGGAATGCATACTAGTCGGGTCTTTGTGTTTCAGAGTGCAGAGAGGAAGGAGTGTCTAAACCAGGAACATCTTTGTTGCTTATAGAGGAGCTCCTCTTGTCCACCTGTTGGTCAGCGTGCTACGTCGGTAACAGAAAGACCGCTGTCTGTCGCCGCCAGCTTCGGTTTTATACCCAAACAGAACAGTTTAGATAGTTTTGCAGCTTGTGGCCATGAAACAGACAGAGCAAATTGCTATCCACTCCCAACCTTAAATAACTGGCATTGATCACTCATTTAAGCACCTTGTCTATTTATAACCAGGTTTCTGTTCCTATATATCTCTAAATAGCCAGGGACATCTCTCTGCTTACCCAGTGTGTGAACATGCACAGTGCACAGCAGACACTCAGACAGAGACCACCCCAGATAGAGTGTGTGTTGCAGTGCAAATAGTTTTATTGAAAGCGGTACAGTGACACCGGTGGTCTTTTGTGTGGCATTTGAATACTGTGATTGTACAGTCAGTCTGTCAGAAATCCCTCTTCCACAAAGGCAGATGCCCCATCCACAGACTGAATTACACTGGGCAGCCTGGTCTCATTCAGTAACACTAGTCTGATACACACACAGCCTCACTGTCCCCATTCTGTTTTCTACAGAACTGCTCTGCCGTTAATCCACTCCTTCTTCAAGGCTGATATTGTTGGAGGGACAAAAGCAGAAATACATACATTTTTTCATTTTAAAACATTATCTATACCTGGTGAGCTCTACTTCACAGCACTGTCACTGCAGAGGTATAGATACCTCCCGTTTCTTCATCAACACAGAGTCCAAACGAACGTACACTTCAATAGTGACAATAATTTAACCAGGAGTTTATTTATGCACGATTGCACCAGGTCCTAAATCTCAACCCTTTGTGTCTTAAGAACAACCCCATTTGCAGATCCAAGATTGTGGGTGAAACAAGATACACATGACCTCTGAGCTGAACACATCAGGCCAGATCTAGAGGAAATGCGATCACAAGGGATGTGCCAAGTGCACTGTTCTTATTAGTGCTACAACATCATCGGGACAGAACACCTACAGCTCCTCATTATGCTGCAAGGTGTGATGTCTGTGTGGGGCTGTGTGTGGGGCTGTGAGGGGCTGTGAAGGGCTGTGAAGGGCTGTGTGGGACTGTGAGGGACTGTGAGGGACTGTGTAGGGCTGTGTGGGGCTGTGAGAGGCTGTGTGGGACTGTGAGAGGCTGTGTGGGGCTGTGAGGGACTGTGTGGGGTTGTGTGGGACTGTGTGGGGCTGTGTGGGGCTGTGTGGGACTGTGTGGGGCTGTGTGGGGCTGTGTGGGACTGTGTGGGACTGTGTGGGGCTGTGTGGGACTGTGTGGGACTGTGAGAGGCTGTGAGGGGTGCATGGGGCTGTTAGGGGTTGTGTGGAGCTGTGAGGGGCTGTATGAGGGTCTGAGAGTGGCTGTGAGGGGTGTGGGGGGCTGTATGAGGGGCTTTGAGGAGCTTTGAGGGGCTGTGAGGGGTTGTGAGGAGCTGTGAGGGGCTGTGAGGGGCTGTATGGGAATGTGTGGGAATGTGGGAACCATACGGGAGACCTGGGACCTGGTGTCATAGCAAAAGAACGCCCGACAATAAGGCATAGTTCTCACACAGAGCCCAGAGGACACAGCTACACGGGTTAAAACTGGGCAGTAAAAAATGGAATGAACCAGTTCAAATCACTCTCAAAACAATAAAAGGAACAGTACTAATATTAAAAAATAGATATTACAGCATAACATTTCAAGAAACATCTTTGGCTTTTCAAAAAATAAAAAGGCATATTCTGGTAAGGCAAAATGAAGGCTGTCTCTCCAGTCGAACCCTGGACTCCGCTTCCCCTGCTCCTCCCCTCCCTTGTCACAGTCTCTGATTTAATTGGATGAATTGAGCAGCTTCTCCCAGTTGTGCAGGTGCCTGTGCTGATGCACCTGTTCTCCAGGGCAAAGACTGCTGGAGACCCCTGCCTCCAGAACAGTCCCAGTCCCTTCGAGCGTCACAGCCAGGATCCCCATCGCCATGGAGAAAAGCCCCTCCCTCCCTGCGGCTGATTGGCTGGTCCCTAATCCAGGGAGACTGCAACCTGCTCTCTGGACACGCCCATAGGTAGGGGAGGGGCTGAGCGACGTTGGGGGCGTGCCCAGGGGGCACCTTGGCACTGGCCTCCAAGCATGGCGCAGGGCCGAACCAAAGCAGCAAATGGGCAAGGGGAGCTCCGACTATAGACACAGCCTGTGATAAAACCAACAGAACAGAAACTTCCGGACTCCAGTCTTCCGTGACGGGGCTGCGCTGTCGTGATATATATATCGTGACACAGTGAGAAAGGGCATAAGCTGGAATCGTGGGCAGGCACCGAGCAATGCAAAAGCATGGCGAAAGGAGAACAGAGCCTTGGAGACAATACTTTCCCTTGCCTCCCGCAGGAGTCTCAAGGGGCTAGCAGCTCAAGGGGGCTAGCAGAAGTCTCGCGAGACGAAGCCCTGCAGTCGTGACTTCGAGGGCCTGCTCCTGACCCTGGGTCGGACCTGAGCTGGGCTGCAGGGCCGAAGGGCATGTTTGTGTCTCCTAGGGGCTGGGGATGTCTCCCTCTCTCGTCTGCTCCTCACCAGTACTCACACTACAGCAGTACAATCAAACTGTTAATCATTCATTTTAAAACATTCTTGGCACGGAAGAGAAGGAGAGAAGGGGAGGAGAGAAGGAGAGAGAGGGTGGGGGGGTGGAAAGGCATCGCTGGGCAAGGCTGAATCACAGTTGCTGTTGGTTATCTAGTGAGCCTCTTGTTTCAGGTCGTACCTGTCGGAGAGAGACACAGTCAGTGGGAGGAAGACAGCAGCTCAAGCCAACAGTTTCCTGTTGGACAGGAATGTGAGGGGCTGTATTCAGCCTCGTGATGGAGCTTGTCCCTGAGCCCTACTCACCACTGCGTGACCCCTGCGCTCAGGTCCACCTGCGCCAGGTCGATCTGGACCTGGAAGGGAAGGGAACAGGGGCTGGCATCACTGCGCCCACTCACAGACTGACACACGCCAGGGGTTACAGACGGAGAGGCGTTCTACAGACAGACCACAGTCCAGAAATAGCCAGGGTGACAGCTGGTCGGGTAGGTGTCAGGTGATAGACAGGCAGACAGGTGACAGGTGATAGACAGGCAGACAGGTGACAGCTGGGCAGACAGGTGACAGGTGATAGACAGG